AAAAAACACACATCATGGTAAAATCAATACATTCATCGCTCCGTTCAGAATCTAAAATCACAGTCATAAATCAATATACCTACTTATAACCTTAAAAATAGAACTGTTCATAAATAGTTCATAATTTTGTTTCACATACTATTATATTTATTTTTGATGTTCATTATTTATCGTTATTTTTTACTTATAAAAATGTATCTTAAACTTTTTCATAACTTAAAAATTGATACTAAAAACGAAATAAGCCTATTACTAGGTAATCAAACTTTTTAAATGCATTTCGAAGTTGATTTTTTATAGTTATCTGTAATTGCAGTACCAAATAAAAAATATCTCGATGACAAATATCATTTATGGTAAAAAGTAAGTAGAATTCGAGAGTTCTAAATCATAGCTGATGATGTTCGCAATCACGTTTTTATAAAATATCATTCTGGTCTCTGGACCATTATTTATGACTATGTAGGTGCAATCTGAGTGAGCGTGCTTTTAATAATTCTATATTATATTTCGTGATTATTATTTGATAACTACACTTTTTTTAAATTATTTTAAAATAGTAATAATACCTTAAATGTTTAATTCCATAGTTATTAAATCTTTATGCTCACGAACTCTTAAATTTAATTATCATAATATACCATGTTTTCAGTGCTCACTATGTGTTTCAGATATAACAGATGATATATATTTCTTACCTAGTGAGAACACAATGGTGTTTCGTATTTTTCATTGTTTTAAATTCAGTCGTTTTTATTCTATATTATCATAATTGGTATTCGTTACCCTTAACGATCACACCTATACATGCACTGTACGTCGTCACTCCCAAAATTCAGCCATTTATCTATTTTATTATTACGATACACGGCGCCACTCTTGTTATTATATGTACCTATATAATATATATGTGCATACATACTATGTATATACAATATACGTATTATATACATACAAATTGTGCACGCCGTCGTTAGTCATAAAGTTGAGCGTAATTTCCTTGAACGATTTGCATTATAATGCCACGCAGAGACTATATAATAACGTCTCTGTGCGTTGCTAGCACCGGTTTTTTATATTTATTTTTCTAGCTGTTTGTGTAATATTACACGATTATTMAATATTACCTACACTATAATAAGTGGTGAACTATGAGAAAACAAATTTTCCTAGGGAAAGCTATTTTACATGCCCTAAAATTTGTATCATCCTCGATGTACGTTTTATGTTTTTTTGGTTATCATGACTTCAATGCTCATTTGGAAATTAAAAAGTACATGTGACCCTAAAATTATAAGTTACGAAACAACATTTTATGTTTTACAGTAAAGTAAAAACAGAGTAAAGTATTCAATTTAAAAAAAAAATATTGGTAGGTTTGTATAGTTTTTTTAAACATTTTTATTTAACCTAACCACTTATATTTTTAACATGTCAATAATATCTTCAAAATCTATTTAATATTTAGTATATATGTCTGTACAATCATACACATGAGTCGCCCAACTGTTATTTATATAATTATGTGTACTCTGGCGTTCCATCGAAATAATCCAGCATAATCCACCGCTTATTATGATCCAGATATCAACTTAAAATATATACTAGATAGATTTGTTTAAGGAACGAGTTAATATTCTGTACTGTACTTCAAGTTCATATTAAAAAATAAAAATATGTTTGTCATAGGATTATTCGCTTGAAAAATGGTTATATGGAAATAATATGTGTGATTATCAAGAGTGGTTGTTATTCTCTAAAGAAATAAACTCGAGTGAATTAACAACAAAATTCTCACTTAACTTCAAAAAGTTATAGTTGCTTGACAAATAAAATTCTTTACTAATTTGTTGTTCGGAACTCTTAAACGACAAGACAACACTATAGACAGTTTTCGTATTGTATGATTTGAAAAACTGGCATTCATTGTTTTAATATTAAATCATAAAACTTCGGCAACTGTAGGTACCTACAGTGGTATATGCCACTATTAAGTTTATATCAAGCAGAAGAATCCAATAAAAGATAAATAACTTTTGAAAGGATCAACAACGGTGTTTTCGGCCTACATACAGGTATAGTGTGTATGCGGCTTTGAACTAATAATGTGCGCTTGGCAAGGATGGTTGGGAGAAACCATACTGTAGACCAACAAATGTTATTAGTAGGTCTGTCGACGTGTGTTATTTCGACAATATTCATATAATTCTCGTTACAACTTTGGAATTATATACGTCATACGTAACTATCTGTAGTAGTTCGAACCTTTGTCAAAGAACAATCGCTATGCCTTACTAACACCGTGTATATTGTTGTATAATTAATGCACCTGGAGCAAGTAAGTTGTATTTTGACATCAGCATGTCCCGCAAAAAAAAAAAATAATAATTTTTATTCATCCAAATAATGACGTAGGTATACCACAATAATACACAAGCCATAATTGTATTATTGTAAGAAGAAGTCTGACATATATTATACAATATATCGATTACAAGATAAATAATTGATATGACATTATAACTAGTATGACCCCAGTTCTTCACATTAATTGTTTGGTCTCAAATCAATTTTAATTACATACGAGAGAGTCATAATACTCATGATAAATGGCTTGCGTACTTTCTGCTTAGATATAATATACTATGTATGTCAATTTGTTATGATAATGATACCAAGTTTTTTTTTAATTGTATTAAGGACCATTTAGCAAACATCTATACTGTGTTGTTATTAGCTTGTTTTGGTTTGAAGGCTTTCAATTAAGGCATACAAACTTATATCTTTGACATCCTGTGGGATATATGAATTAAACCAAATTTTTATACTTTATATCGTAATATGATCCTTCAGTGAAACGGGGTTACATGTAAAAACATTTTTTTAAATTACAAATAATAGTATTATTGTTCGATCCCTCTGACAATTTAAAGTTCCCACCGTCTGGTAACCGACATGGTTAACCAGTCTGGCGTGGCCGTCACGGCCCACCGGCCGCAATGTTGGCAAATCTGCGTTGGCCGCCGCCGTGCGTGTGTGTGCGTTGTTGTTGTTTCTCGCTCGTGACCTCCGTGCAGCACGGCCGTTTTGTTGTATTATTTTGAATAACGTGTGCTCGCACTTAACTTATCGTCTGCTTCGTCTCCATTACGATTTACGTGTCTACGGGCCACTGTTGTTATTGTCGACCGCCGCTCTTGCGGTCTTAATTATTGTACGCGACAACAGAAAAGGTGTGCTCTCCGTTTACATTGGCCTTATCCGCAACTTTTCACGCTCAAGACAGTTGGTGGGTCACGCGTTCGTGCCCAGCTAGTTGTCGTACAAACCGTTGCTCCACGGGCACGACCAGTGAAGTGTGCATATTAATTTTCAAGTTGCTGCTCCGCTCACAAATCCACACGCTCGTGGATACTAAGTCTTTGCTCAGCTGCTCCACTTATYGTCAGTGCAACAAGGTTACGGACAGTTTAGTCCGGATCGGAAGTTTCCCACAGAGCGGTGTTCCCCGTCCCTCCTCACATTGTCTACGTAGCATGTGCTCGTAGACGCATGCATATTGTTATTCTTGTCAATACATAAAAAACTAATAAAAATACTGTGATTTTATTCATCAACTAAAACCAAGAGTTACATACTTTCTATAAGGATCCGGATTCACCATAATCACAAACAAGAGCGTCATTTTAACTTTTTTTTTGTTGGTACCAACATTTTCGCAAGCCATTTCAATCATTACCAGGAAACAAAATATTTTGGAAAAAAATTGTAGAATAATATTGGTTTTCAATAATTTCATATATATTATTATGTTGAAAATATCACAATTATTGTTACTATTTTTGTCTAACTATTTGTTCGATTAATGTATTGATTTATTTAATGTATTTATACTAATTTTGTGGTTACTAGTGTTATTTGTATTTAGAAAATAAATTTACAGTTATCTTAATAGTAAAATATCTAATCGAACCTATCCTATGCATTTTTTTCATGGCAATCAATATATAGCTATATGTATATATATAGCAATATAGCTCATATAGCTAGCTTAATAAAACCTATAGTTTATTGTATGGGAACCCTTGCTCACAATGGCACAAGTGTTATACACAACAGTTATATAAAAAATTGAACAAAAAATTAGCATAATATTTTTTTTTTTAATATTGAAAATAAATGAAATTCATTTAGCATAAAACAATTAGATGTATTGTTGGCATGTCAAAGAATGCGTTTTAAAAAAGTCAATGAAAATTCAACCCCACCAATGATGCCTCTGATTACAAATATAATTTTAATACGTTTTTATTATAGTGCACTGAGTATCGTTATATCGCCATATTATCAACCTTTTTAAGTTCCATGAAAATAAAAATCAATTTATTGCTGATGCTTTATACGTAATGCGCAATATAAATTCCGTGTAGATACTCATACCATATTGATTCCGTGTAGGTACTTATACTATATTGTATCACAGTCAATCGATATTGTAATAATGACTTTACGGTGTGSATTTTGTACAACCGAGAAACAATTGAAATATTATTTGTCATATGTCGAACTTTCACTATAGATTTTATATTAAGCCAAAAGCTGTACATTATTGACACACCTAAGCGGTTTACACTTTAACTAATGACAGCTTAAAATAACAAAAACGACAAACAATGCAAACTATAATACAGACGGTTCATGAAAAAAGGGGAAAACTATTATTTACRATAATTGTACTTATGCACGATGCTTCAAGAAATTATTTTAGGTATATATCATCATAATTGTAAAGATTTTGCTGAAATTTGAATTTTAGATTTTTAATTTAACCAATAGTTAAATATAATATAATAATATTAATATCTATTCGTGGATAACAAATTAATTTTGCTTTTTAAAAATTGTAAAAAAAAAGATATCTACTATCATTCATTAGGTATATAGTTGGCTAACCTAATCATATCATCATGCTATGTATAAACAAAGATAATATCTATAAGCTTATTAATATTGACTTAAAATTTCAAATTGAGAGCTTTACACATTTTTGTTTTCCTCTCTTCTTTGTGATCACATAACATACACAATACATATCATATTATAATGTATATTATATTCATGCATATAAATGGACAGTGGCTGAACCTTGGAGTCGATAATAACTCGTCGATGAAAATCTGTTAGTATCTATCTACGTTCTATATGGACTTGTATCTACATATTAATAATATAACGTATGTTTAGGTACTTACTTTTAGACTTTGCTGGTGGACATTTTGCAAAAACTGGCATGTTAATCATCCATTCGGTAGCGGCCGAATAGTCGTCTTCAGTATATTTGAATTTGGATTCATTGGACTGCCAGAGGAATGGTTTCCGGGAGGACGAATCAAATGTAGAACTTCCGGTTGCCATCTTCGCACGATATCCGTGTCTATCAGATGAAGGGGGTTGCACCATCATGGTTTTGAACATATCTTCGTGGCCTAAAGAATTGGATTTAATTTCCATCGCGTGTATGACGGGCAATGGAATGTTATTATCACGAGTGGATCGCTGTGCCTTCGCGAACTGTTGTGCTTTCGTCTGTGGTGGCCGCCGTTGGTCCACCGGTTCACAATCCAAGACCTCGATCACACCTACAGGCATGCGGTCTAAATTGCTCTGCTTGGAGCTACAAATCATTGGCCACTGAGGTGACGATGTCAAAAATGGTGACGGTGACGATGGTGGTGAAACGGATTCCGTGACCAACAACCGTGTAGACTTATTGTTACTGACCTTGGTGGCCAGGTGTTCGGCCCATTGGGCTTCAGATAGCCACAGTTCCTGTGATTCATTCTTGGACGTGGATTTTACGACTGCTTTTGTTCCAGTTTTCGAAGTCAGTTTTTTTACTGGCGTCRTATTTACATTTTTTGATTCCAGCGATGTCTGCGATGATACCGGCTGTTGTGTTCCTGACGGCAAAGACGCTGTCGACGAAAACGAAGATGATGACCGTTGCCGTTGAATGGCTGGTGACACACCGGCCGATTTGCACTTGGCCGTCGTGCCAAGTATGGCCACMGAAGTCGAATTAGCAGCTAATGTGGTCAACGCTGTAGCTTCTACGTAGTGCACCGACCGCAGGTCATCCTCAATACCCATTGCATGTCTGTCAAAGTCATCGCACTTAATAGCCATGTCRTCATCGCTATCAGTGTCAAAATCCACGTCATGACTCCCGCGGTCATTGGTCACTGATATTCCGGCAACAGATGTGTTGTATGTTTTTTTCGGTTGCCGTGTGACAGGTACGGTCTCAAATTTTGGAGGTTCGAATTCCCTTTCTGGGGATGGACTCCTTGATTTTGAAGCTGAAACAAAATATGAAATAATTATACAGTGCCGCTCTCTCCCAAAAACACTGCCTTGGGTACTAGGGTATAAGGTGATTGTTAGCGTTTTCATAATATACCAGACAATTTATTAATGATATTATTTTTGTTTCAACACCATGAATACATATACGTATTTATCTCGACAAAAATATTTGTATTATAGTGATATTATGTACTACACTGTTATATTGAATATTCAAATATATCTTATCATTTTAAAATTATTTTTTAATTTAATTTTTACTATTACATTTAACTTCAAAACAAACTTCATTTCTATAGTTTGTTCATTTCATCTCTCATTTATTTTACCTATCCTAAATAAGAATTTATGAGTATGAAATTATTGACCAATTAAACTATCTAGATTTTAAAAGATTACAAAAATTATATCTAAGATAAATGAATAGATAATGTTTTGATTTTTATCTATATTAAGAAATAAATAATACTATTTTTTTTTTATTTATAGTAAAAATATATATATTTTTATAGATAAATTTCCAAATCTCTTAAACTTCCTCTAATAAAACTACCCTTCTATCTTGGCGGTTTTCTACAGGTTCACTATCTCTTGATAGTTAAAATTCTTAAATTACAGATCACTTTTCAGTATTTCCGGTACTATTTTAAAAATATAAAGTATATTTACTTGCTCATTTAATCACTTTTAAAAGTTATTTATTCTAAATTATGTGTTTACTATTATTTTTTGTGCCATAATGTTTAAACTCAGGCAATAATGCATATAAGAGTGATAAATTTATGTAAAATATAGAGATGTAAAATTTGAAATACGTGTTAGTATGATATTGCTGATTGAGTTATTCTTATAATAGTTATGAGATCTTAAAAGCAGATTGAGATTATATATTATTTTAATTTTTAATTGATTATTTTTATGAATGACAATCTTATATAAACATTATAGTGTTACTATTTATAATCACTATATTATAGTGATTATAAATAGTAGGTAACACTATATTTTGTTAAATTAAAAAATTTTGGTTAAGCGGGTACAACTATATTCATATCAAATGTGTCAAATTGTTCTTCATGTTGTAGCAGAACAGGGACATTTAATCGTATTGTTATTGAATATTAGTATTAGCGTGAAACTGTAAAAACCTAAAAATTTTATTAGGTTCTACTGCGTACCAGAAACCTAAAACGAATCTCATATACCTAATATATTTACAGTTTTTATAATCAATAATATAATACGCAACAACACTTAGAATCTATTGCTCGTTATACAGACGTTGGTCTCAAATTAGTCGTATTGCTTTTGATATATGACTAATTATAGTATATTATGCTAATGCGAACGTCCAATCTATTTATGTATACATTAAATAGTCAGATGTGAGAGTATAATAATTACTCAAAATAGCTTTAATTGTTCTCTTATCGTAGACATTATTTGTATGTCAAAGGGATGTTTAAATTTTAGTTTAACCTACATTCTTACTACGGAAGTTTATTTAAAACTTTTTCCTGTAGGATTGGCATACAAACTTTTATTTTTAGATAGGCATATTTTAAGTGACAGAAAATATAATTTTAATAAATATAATTTGGATATAATTTATTGAATTAATCATTAATTTTTTTATTTAAGAATTTAAGAGAAATGAAACGTGTTTTGTGTTACTTTAGAATTTTTGTATTCTAATTCATTTCTTAATTTTTCTATATTTTTTGATGAAATTATAAAATTTACCTTACAAATTTTGTTTGTATTTTATCAAAACCAAAATGATTTAATTTTAAGATCTGTGTCGTTTAGAAATAGTGTCTATGAACGCTATTTTCCCTCAAACCATCCTGCCTTGTGAACAATGTTATCAAAATTACTTATTGTATCATTATTTGTGTACAAATTATACAATGTTGCAATTTTGCTTACAAAAAAAAATATTATGAAAATACAAAATTAAGTATAATTTCGAGGAATTAAAAAAATCTAGTAAAATACTACATTAATCATTTATAAAAATTCTGTAAAATAATATCTTAAACATTTTTTTTWAAATATTTATATCGGTATTTGTTTTTTTTATTAAAGTTTATATAAAATTAAGATCAATAACTTGAATCATTCTAGTATTAATTAAATTAGAGTCTGAGACTATGATAGAAGCGTTGAATGTATTGCATTTACAATAAAACGTATTTTTTTTTGTGTCTAGGAATTTAGGTACTCCTAAAATAGCAGATGAGAAGATGCTTGTTTTTCATAGGTCCTACTTTAATGTGCACCACGACACACAATGTTATACATTGTGCACTTCGGTCTACACGGAATTTTTGTGATTTTTACGTATTTTGTCAAAATTCAAACTTTGAATGCTTATAAAAAATAATTGTGACCATGAATTTATTAATATATTAATATCAATCTTAAAAAAACTAATAATGATTGAAAATTGCAAATACCTATGAATAGTTCAATTTAATTCCAAAATTTTTGAAAATTGCATGGTGAATAGAATATACTTATATAAACATTCGGTGAAAATTCCATGCATCTATGGTCATTGTTTTAATGTTATATTAAAAACCAAAATTGATTTTGTCGAAAACTGATTGTGCGTAAAATGTTCCATTGTTCCCTTAATTTTTAGTTTGTTTATCCCGATTATTTAGAAAAATATTAAGAATTTTTTACTCTTGACCCCACCAAAGTACCAACTAGATTCACTTTCTGATCGAACGATGTACTGAAGTCAAAACTCGAAGCACTTTTACTGCCCCAAAACGTGATGACAGACACACAAAAAAAAAATAACACATCATGGTAAAATCAATACAATATTCATCACTCCGCTCAGAATCTAAAATCCATATTTTAATAAAAATTGTTTCGGACATAAGTTTGTACCGTCCCCCCGTTTAGGTAAAAAAAAAAGTAGGGGTGCGCAAATAAAATAATATTTTTATCGCCCCCCTGCGCACCCCCCAATTCGAGCACTGAATTTGTTTCTAAAAAAGACAACGCTTTTATTAAACATCTGTAGGTACCTTCATATTTTGTGTAATAAAATCTTTCTAGTGTCCTCAATGCATGAGAAAAAGCATCAGCTTCGGATATTTATGGCTCAGTTTCAAACTCATCATAAAGCTCATCAATATCAGTATCATAATTTAGCTCAAGTTGTTGGCTAGCTATGATATTGTTGAATATATTATCTCCATCCGTTTAAATGTCTGACATTAAGACGTCATCATAAATCTATATGTAGTCCTCATTGATGTCATTCATCAATCCGCTGTCTGCTTTTAGCTGTATAGTTTCGATTGAAATGTCACAGAAACCTGCATGTCGAAAGCAATTAGCAATACCCGTAGATGTTACATTACGCTAATCTATATCCAGCATTAATACGGCATCCAAAACAATCGTTTTTGATTCTACTTGATTCTCAATATCATCAATCATTTTCATTACCAACTGATTCCGTTAATACCAATAATTAAGAGTTTTTTCAAAAAATTCTGAGGTCATCCAAGCTTTGGTGTTATTTTCATGAAATACTGGAAGTGAAGAAATTTATTTTACCCCCAGTAAGAATATCCTAGGATAATCTTACCTGCCAGTATGAATTTCACAGGAATATTTTACCGGGAGGAGGGTATGATTTGCCTAGGATATTTTTACACTAGGACTTAACTAGGACTATAATAAATTAAGTTTAAAAACGCTTCAAAAATATTTATTTTTTTAATCAATTCGTTTTTAACTCTTAAAACAATGATAAAGACATTTACTTTTATACATCTTTACTTTTTTAGTTGTACGTATACTATGCAACATTTAACAAAAATGGTAAACACTCGAATAGTACCTATACCTAACTATCGAACTAGTGAACTATTTGAACTATATCGTAGGTGAGTCGTGAGTGTAGGACGTAGGTATATATGGAACACAATAAAAAATGAACAATTGATAATTTAGTTCCATAAATTATATACCTACATCTTACAATCGCTAATCA